TGAGAGCAACAGATTCTGGAGCTAGGGACACCGGCCCTCGCGGCCAAAAAACGGACCGGCCCACCGGGAATTCTCCCGGTCCTCCCGATTAGCCAATCCGGGCCTGGCTCGTACATAATGGGACGCTTTTCAGTTGCGTTTATCGTCGGCATTTTTTAAGACGTTTTTCCGGAGTCAATCCCAAACGATTTTCACTGGCATCAAGCAAGAGTATGCAAAATCACTCCTTGATGTTAGATGGCGCTACACAACTTTAAGCTTCTGACACCCGCTTGTAACACAGAAGAAGAAGACAAAGTTGACACACTTGTTGGGTAAAGTCTAGTGCTGTTTCTCAATATGCGTTCTTCAGCGGTCTTGCGTCCTCGTTTTCTCGTGCAACGTCATCATCAGCTGCCTAAGTTCAATTCCAATACTCAAGACCGCAAGTACGGAGGACGCTTGAAACTTCCCGCATGTGATCTTGATATCGAGGACGCACTGATGCAGACTTGAATAGCGAACTCACTCTGGAAGTCCCAGAAGTCATTGCGACTAGAGATGGGAAGCGCTGAATTTTATTTAGATTTATTATTAAAGTTCAGAGATATCACTTATTTACCTAAGGAGTTTCCCTAAATGAAACGGTGAAAGTAAACATTACCATGAATATCTTAATAAAGGAATAAAAACATTAAGGGTTGTTTGTTTGCTGAAATTCGTATTAAAATCTGTTTTATTTATATTGTGCAGAGTATATTTATAATGTTTTTATGCAAAGTATATATTTTGAAGAGGGGGGAAACAATAAATCGTTGTATGAGTGCTGTTATGTTTAAATAATTTACTATTTAAAATGCGTGAAGGTCACATGACCATCAGGAAGAACGCAGCATCCCATTTCTCAAAGGATGCGTTCTCTGCCCACGCAGTCAACTGAGTTCGTTCTTCCGAGGACACCTGGCAAGACTGGTCTCCACAAGAACGCAAGTCTGTTCTCTGCGTTCTTGGAATTGAGAAACAGCCTATATCGGATATGCGGCCGGCCGGAAGTGCGATATGCACATTAATAAAGCAGCATTTTTTTATGACACTGTATAACAATAATTAATTTTTTTACAGTACTGTGAGGGTTGGGTGTAGGGTTGGAGTGGGGGTAGGCGTTAAAAAATACATTTTATTGGGTAATTTAATAGATAACATAACTAATACTCGGTACAACTACAGTTTTTACATTACTGTGACGGTTGGGATCAGGGTTGGGGTGGGGGTAGACGTTAATAAAATACAACAAATGAGAAATTTAATAAATAATAGAAATAATTCCGGCCGCAAACGTATCCACTCAAGCAACAACCCACTTGTTGCTATGGATGGTTCAAGCAGCAGTTTCAGTTCTAGCGATGAAGAAATGGTTATTGTTCAACAGAACAATAAACAACTCCTTGTTCATATCGCCTCTGGGCATCTTCTTCAATGAGCGCTCGCATTGACAGTTTTCACGTTCATTGACAGTTTCCAAGTGCTGTTTACTGTAACTTCACCAGCTCCGTGCACGTCAACAGAAGTGCCAACCTGATTGGTGAACAAAAAAACGAGCATTACGCTTTTACGCATGCCGTTTCAAGTGGTGCTCGCTGCAGAGCCATTTGGGCAGGGCTGAGCTTCAGCGAGGGGGAGCTTGAGCTCTCGCTCATCCTTTCTTGCACTTCTTCTACGAGTGATGTCACTGGGGGTAGGGTTAGGGGTGGGGTTGGTGTACGCATTAAAACAGCTTATAGGAGGATGAGCGAGAGCTCATGCTCCCCCTCGCTGGAGCTCAGCTCTGCTCAAATGGCTCTGCAGCGAGCACCGTCTCTGCCGTTTTGCACATTGGTGTGCACGATCACATTGACGTGACCCTGCAATAACGATGAAGACAAGCAGTCTAAGGCTCTCTGTTGTCAAAAGAACATCTCTGCAATATTCATAGATGTGTAATTGTTCAGTTAAGGACAGTTATAAAGCTTGGCGAAAGAGCTCCAATCTTGATCAACTTTTAGTTTAGTTAGTGGTAGTAACAGCTACTGTATATTATTATATTTATTTATATTATTGTAAATTATTTTTTCATCTCCGTCCCCAGTCTTCATTTTATGTTTTAGACATGATTTTATTTTAACATAACAGTATGCAATTTTAACATTTGAGTTTCAAAAACTGTAATGCTTAATAATTTAGCTAGTTAGCATAGCAACATTTTTATTGAATATTGAAGCAATTGGTGGCACAGTGTCTTAGCGTTTAAAACTGTCACCTCATATCAAGAAGGTCACTGGTTTGAGTCCTGGCTGCGTCAGTTAGTGTTTCTGTGTGGAGTTTGCAGGTCCTCCCTGTGTTGGCGTAGGTTTCCTCCGGGTGCTTCGGTTTTCTATAGGGGAATTGATGAACTAATTTGGTCGTAGTGTGTAAATGTAAGTGTGTATGGGTGTTTTCCAGTACTGGGTTGCGGTTGGAATTCTGCTGTGTAAAACATGTTGAATAAGTAGGCGGTTCATTCCGCTATAGTGACCTCTGAAACAGAGACTAAGCCAAAGGAAAATCAATCAATCAATTAATCAGTTAATCAGTTAAAGGGGTTTCATTTGATATTATATTATGTTTTCATTTCAATGTCTGATTAAATACAGTTCAGTAGTTTATCTAATGAGTTGGTGATTTACAAAAAAAATTGTGTTTTTCCTTTTAATAATAATTTAATATAATTCTGTTAACAATAACCATTTGCTAATGAAATGATTTCCCTGCTAAAAAATCCACCTTAAACCAGCCTAGGCTGGTTGGCTGGTTTTAGTTGGTTGACCAGCCTGGTTTTAGAGGGGTGTTGGCCATTTCCAGGCTGGTTTTCAGCCATTTACAGCCTGGTCTTAGCTGGTCAGGCTGAAAAATGACCAGCTTAATCCAGCTAAAACCAGCTTGACCAGCCTGGTTTAAGCTGGACATAGCTGGTCTTAGCTGGGCTCCCAGCCTGGCTAGGTTGGCCGAGCTGGTTTTAGCTGGTCATCTCCCAGCCTGACCAGCTAAGACCGGGCTGGAAATGGCTGGAAACCAGCCTGGAAATCCCCAAAACCCCTCTAAAACCAGCCTGGTCGACCAGCTAAAACCAGCCAACCAGCCTAGACTGGTTTAAGCTGTTTTTTTAAGTAGGGTTTAGTGACCAGAGCTATAAAAAGCATGCAGATTAATTGTGCAATAGTCACATAGTTTATTTTTTAACATAATACCTTAAATATTAATTTAATAAAAAAAAAGCCAATTTAAGAAAAATACAAGTTCTCTAAAATTCCTCTCAAATCAATCAGCCAAATTATTGTTTGTAAACATGTAACAGTAAATCCTTTTTAAAGTATAAAGGATATTAAGATTTACTCTGAGTTATTTTTACTTTAGAAAAAAAGAGCGGTCACCCTAAGTACACAATCCCACAAACACAACCAGCTAAACTAAACTAAAAAATGCTTGTTGAGAAATGAATCAAATCTACACAACTCAACAACAAAAATCCAGCAAATAACATCTAGAAAACTTCAGCTGCGTCCCAAATGGCACACTATACACTATGCACTCATGCACTATGTACTTATGCACTTACACACTCAACAGGATAGTATATGTATGTAGTGCTGTCCCAAATGGCACACTAATGTTTTTTTACTAAGCGGAAATTCAAACCGTTTCCCTGATGACGTTTGACTGTTGCCAAATCAGTGAAATAAACGACTGAATTATCAAGTAATACCTGCCGTGAGTATTGCCGCATTTACCATCCGGAGGCGCTATAATCACTCTCGTAGGAGAATTTTGCTTTCACCATCCAAAATAAATAAAGTTATTCAACATGTGCGTCCGATCGCTCCGCCCCTTCCGCTACGTAAGCAAACCTGCGGTCGTTGAGTGCGTGAAGTGTCCATCATTACACACTTCATTTTAGCGGCTGAATGAGTGCATCATCCGGGTAATTAAAGTGCACTTATTATTTTGAGAGTTTTCAATGTGAACACACTACTTACACTATTTATACTACAAAATGGCGTAAAATAGTGCATAAGTATGCGATTTGGGACGCAGCTATAGACTAGTGAAGGCTGCCATTTTGTATCGTGACTCATACGAGTGCAGGAAGTGAACCAAAAGAACTGAGTCCAGCTACACAACAATGCATCTTATTAATCTGCATTTATCTGACTGATGTGACAGCTAGAAGGTACATGACCAATCATACCCAGCCTCAACGCTGTTCCCAAAGAATATGGTGACTCATCAGGAGCCGCACATTTCAAATTCCTCATTTACCTCAGCAAGATTATGATTCACGCATTCATTAGTTCATTCGAAGCTGCATTAAAAACCTGTGTGTGAGTGTTTGTGTGTGTTTCAATTGGCTTCTGTTTGGACAAGAAGCTCGTCTGATTGTGTCAGGCACTGTAGGGGAGGTGTGAAGAGCACTGGCATTGCACTACTGTGACGCTCTCTCGGACAAAACTGCGACCACCGCAGCATGCTGACGGTGCACATCAGTCAAGACAACGCTCATTTGTTTAGGAGGCTTGCGTGGTGTTTCAGATGACGGTTTTGGGGACGAATGCATGTGATCAGTGTTAGACCTCAGTGTGATGTTTTCTTCATGCACCTGTTGGAAACGCATCGCTCTTATCGCCCCCTGTCGGTCGCGTACAGAATCGTCAACATCAGCAGTGTGTGTACTACTGTAACATCACGTTAGTATTCAACAGTCGTGCAGACAGATTTACATAATGAATTATTGTAAAATCCTGGATGAAATCCTGAAAACATGTTCCTTTTATGACCATAAACAATATACAACATTGTGGAGCGGGAGGTTTTCATAACAGGCAGTACGATTGCCTTATCTAATCCTCCAAATCATGTGTAAGCCAAATAAAACACTTTCAGCACTGATAATGAAGGTTTATTTGAACTATGTATCACGTGAATGACAAATAAACATATTTTCAACTCACCCACTCCGATTTTCTCGTCCTCGGTTGGTGTCCACATGATCCCGGTAAAATAACCAAGATATCAGCAGAGTTTGAGTTAAATGTCATGTACGATGACACATTAAAGTTGAAGCCGACGATCAGACGTGTTTATGTCACAGCCGTGTGTTTCGCCAAACAATCGACATCTTTCACACGTCAGCTCAGGTTTCCCATCCGTGCGTCCGAATTTCCCGTTATGGATGCGGCGGCAGCAACATCTGATGGAGACGATCATTTATTTATTTCATTGACTCGGGCAGTCGTGATTTAACGCAGGAATCCGGCGGAACAGCGCGAGGACAAACTAACCTTGAGCGGTTCTCGAGTCGCGTGCGCGCGCGGGGTTCGTTTCCGCGCAATCGATACGAATTTCCGTTATTTTTAACGGTGTAAATGGGAGACCTTAGCGCCGGTGCTGCGCCATCTTCATCTCCCAGTCCGTCCGCCGTCACATGACGCAGATGTCGCTCTTTAACGGGACACGCGCTCTACTCCAACGGTGAAAGCTCCACAGAGCGCACCGGATTATTGACTCATGTCTGCAATGTTCAGCATGGTCAATATTTTAAAATAAGGGGACATTTACAGCCACTATTTCAATAGGCACTACACGAAAGCTAAATAACTGTCAAGTCAAAATAACAGCCTGTGCGATCTCCCAACCTAAAAATGTTTTTTTTTAAATGTTAAATCGGTAATAATAATAATAATAATAATAATAATAATAGGAAGAAGAAGAAGAAGAATAGTAATAATAATAACAATAATAATAATAATAATAATTATTATTATTATTATTATTACTATTACTATTTTATTATTATATTATTGTTGTTATTATTATTATTATTATTATTATTATTAATATTATCATCATTATTATCTTTAATAATTGTGTGTTTTGGGTTTTCCTTTCCAGTCTGACGTACTAAATAATTTAATTATCAATCCAAATTACCATTATTTTTATTAATATTATTATTTTTTGATTGTTATTATTAATATTATTATCACTCACTCATTAAGAGAATAATTCGTTTAATAAAATATATATGTTAGTGTTTTTATTTTCCAATTTGGCTTCACATTATTTAACTATTAATCCATTTCATTATTATTATTATTATTATTATTAGTTTTTACAATCTTTAAGAGAAGATTGAAGTAGCCTATGTTGGGTTGTTTTACTTCAGTGTTGTACTGAGAATGGCACACACATCAGCTGCACAACATCGTGTTGTAGTAACATTATTTCCATTAGCAGTTTACAGTTGACAGATGACAAAGCGCGCGCTTTTTATAACCGAATCCAAACATTTTGAGCGTGCATTCAGTTGACGTCACATGTGCTGCTATGAGGATGTCACCTGGCGTAAGTAGGCTACCCCAGAAATGTAAGTTATTTTAAAACTAATCACCTTTCAAGTATTGTAAAAAAAAAAATGACTCAAATCTAGTGGTTGGATAGAGACAGAACCTGCCACGCGTTTGACTGAGAATAATATGTGAGGGCAAATTGGACAACGCCAGTTTTGACCTAATATCTGAGAGGATTAAAACAGCAGGAGTGACCCAAAATAGTTTGTAATACAAAATAAATCCCTAAAGACAATAAAAAAGACTATTGTAATCTATGTTAGTATAACTAGTGACCGACGTTGTTTACGTTTTGAACAAATCCTTATAGGAAGTACAGCCTACAGTAGCTAAAATAATAGTGCAGTAACCGGGTTCACTATTTATTTAGCCCTATCAGTTACCATTTTACCACAGTTTTGCTACAAGTACCATGATTAAATGGTGTGGTTAGCGTAGCAAAACGTTAGCCTATTTGTGTTTACCATCGTTAAACTGCAAAAGCGTCTGTTGTTTTTGTTGCTCTAAAACCATGTCTAATTTTCATAAGGGGATAAGTCCATCTTTGACATTAACATGCCATGAATGTGGCTTTACCAGCCATCTGCCAAATCAGTTACAATTCCTAATCTGGTTATAATTATCTCGACATTAGTACTGCCGGGCCACGCTGTAAGTGTGCCAGAGGAGTTTTTGTGGTGCTCAAATTCAACAATTTTAGCACCTGCTGGTGTAGAGCAGATTCTGCAAAGTGTAGAAAAACTGCGAAAAACAGCTTTTGTACAAGATTCTTTAACCCCCAGTGCTTTTATTAGCAAACAACCCTCTCCCTTTCTTATCTATGTGGCGTTCTTCTTGATTCTTTACAGACTTCAAGGTTCAACGCTAAGGATTTTTTTTCTACTGGCCCAATCAGACCAGTGGTTCAGATTTTGACTTGCCCTGCCAATATTTTCACTGGCCCCACCAAAAGAAAAAGTTAATAGCTATTTATTACCCACAAATTAGAAAAAAAATGTGACAATGTTTGTAAATCTAGAATTTTAATAAATTTTAATAAATATATAATGAGCAAAATTCAAAGGGTTTTGCAAACAAAAGTAGCAAAATGTGCAGGAATTTTATTCCAAAACAAAACATGGCTGACCTGCCAAACTGATGGCAAACTGTACAAAACATCACAATTTTTTTAGTCATGGTCTACTCTCGTAAATGTCTGCTTCCAAGTCGTTAGAAACAAACATCATCATTTGATGTTGCCGTCTCTTCGCTGTACTAGTTGATACGAAAAAAAAACTTGCTCACAACATCCAATCAGATAAGAGGAACTGAGAAGGTAGCATTTGAAGGCTTGAAAACACAAACTATTTCTTCAATTCAAAGGCTGTATTTACACGCAATTGACAAATAGTCACAGGCTAAGTAAACTTTAGTGACAAGGCAGCAGTGGCCTGATCGGGCCAGTAATGATCCTGTCTGCTGTCCCAAGCATCTCACACGCTGGCCCCGGGCCATCGTGCAGTCCTTATTGTTGAGGCCTGGACTTGCTCAGGAGATTTAAGCACACACTGTCGTACACAAAGATGACTGCAGACCAATTATGACAATAAAACAGATAATGAGGTAAATGCATTGTTTTATAGCACAGTGGGTACCACATTCGCCTCACAGCAAGAAGGTCTCTGATTGGAGCCTCGGCTAGGTCAGTTGGTGTTTCTGTGTGGAGTTTGCATGGTCTCCCCGTGTTGGCGTGGGTTTCCTCCAGGCGCTCCGGTTTCCCCCACAGTGCAAACACATGCACTGTGAGTTGGGTAGGCTAAATTGTCTGTAGTGTATGTGTGTGAATGGAGTGTATGGGTGTTTCCCAGAGATGGGTTGCGGCTGGAAGGACATTCGCTTTGTTAAACATTGGTGGTTCCTTTCGCTGTGGTGACCCCAGATTAACAAAGTGACTAAGCCGAAAAGAAAATGAATAAATAAATAAAATGTACAACAGAGACTAAGAAAAGCTTAACTCTGCCTTCAAAAGTGACTTCAGATCAGTGTTTTTCCCAAGCTGCTGATGCAGAAACTCATCCCCATTGTTTATTTTTAGCTGTAAAGCTGATCGTCTGCTAACACCTAGATCCTGTGAGAACTGAAGAAACATTCTGGACATGAGGTAACCATGGTGATGCCGATAGCAACCTACCGCATTTTTCGAGGCGGCTTAATGGTCATTGTGGGTGTTGCGGATTCTCCTGACCTGCTGAGCAAGTCGTCCATGCATTGCCTTAATCAAATTCATAATCTCATATGTTCATTCACAGTCCATATTCATTGCAGCCGAACACATCATTGCAGGCGAAAGAGCTTGAATTGAATTCAAAACAATGATTTAGCATTTTTTATGCATTTTTATAAATGTCTGCGTCAGCCAAGTCGATCTGCGTATATTGATGCCGTAAAGGCCAAAGTAAAGCGATGTATCCCGCTTTAGCAGATGTATTTTCATTCTCTAGTGTGATATATAAAACAGCATATGAAGTGAGGGGAATTTCTATTTGTTACTCTTGCTGGCTGTGATTCAAAAGACTTAAGAGAGGCACTGAAACACGAACAACACTGAGTCATCGCCATTCAGTGGAGAATTCTCCAGATGAAAGGAGTTTGCTGGGTCTGTGAGTTAAAACTAGCAAAACACATCATCCTTCCCTCGGCTGTGGCATGAGGAGACGTGGTTGCATACAGAACTATAGTTTGTTCTTTGATTTTTTTGGATTCAGAGCTTTCCGATTTGATTAATTAAATAACTTGTTGCTTAAAGAAGAATGCACATTTATTTTTGTACGAAATGTAAATCAACATCATTGCCTTGAGGAAAGAAAAGGCTTCTTAAAGATACACTCATCAAGATTTATAGGCTAATAAAATATGCCATGTCAGAAAACAATCAGTGTTCAGGTTCAATGAAAGTTATTAGATGAAGGTTTTTTTTTTTTTTTTTTTATAAATTGAAACATTTACATTACATTACATGCCAGGGATCAAAACAGATTCACAGTTTTTACAGCTTTTTTGTTAGTACATTCGGAAATCAAAGACATATAAAGATTTAGATCTTCAAGAAAAATCTGAAAGAAAGGATTATGCTTACAGAATTTACACTTCTGTATAAAATATTTGGCCAAAAATATAATAAGATTAAATAAATAAAAAGCATCAGGATGTTCATTTTGATGATTATATCCTAAAATAACATTTTCATATTTTAACATAACATCAGGAATTATACCACTAAATATACCTAATACATTTTTCCCAAAAATTTTGGTATATTCACAATTCCAAAAAAGATGAGACAGATCTTTAGTTTGGTGATCACAGAAGGAGCAATTTACATCAAAATCTACAGAAATAAACTTTTGTAAAAAAAAAAACGTTTGTAGGGTAGCACCTATTATTTTATAAGACACTTCTCGGATTTTATTATACATAATAAATTTCTGAGGTAAAGTCCATACTCTTTTCCAGTTAATATTACCTATATGTCTGTTCCAATAATATACAGCATTAGGACAAGAGATCATCTCACGCTGAAATAGAGAGCGGATATTTTTGTTATTTGGTTTCGTGGTAAATAGTAATTTACCAAGAGCTGTTTTAAGCACATTTAATTGTGGCATGGGGAGGCTGATTGTCCCATCCCTTCATAAGCATAATAATCCCATAAGGGATTGCTCCAAAAACAATAGCAAATTCTTTAGCTGTAAATGGGTATTTATAATGGGACAAAAATTCTTCATATTTAAAAGGCACTCCTCTGTTATTAAATAATTGTCTAAGATAAATTATATTGTTTTTTTGCCCATTTTTCAAAGTAAATAGATTTATTTTTGTACAGTAAATCTTTGCTGTGCCCAATTATATAATTATGCGGGGAAAAGTTGTGCTTGTAGATCAAAGACCATGAAAACAGACATTGTTTGTGAAATGATGATAATTTGGAAGGAATTTTCTCAGGATTATAATTACACAGGAGTAAAAAATTTAAACCACCCAATTTAGAGAAATTATTAGATGAACGTATTCTAGATTGACTGATATTGATGACGTTTTGTTTGGAATATATTGTTCAGGTCAATG